CAAGTGAGGTTGAACAGAGGTTTGCACTTGACTGACGTTGAGCAGAGGGTGACCTTCGACCGGATGCAGGAGAAGATGCGTGCGGTCATGCGCGTCTTCTCCTGTCGCAGCGCCGTGGACGTCGTACCTCCAGCTGGTCCGGTACAACCACGGCCTCGCGCGCCTACCGTCGGAGCAGGACCTCGACCTACGGCACCTATTTCGCACGGTACTGCTCAGCCCAGAGGTTTCTTAAGTTTTGTTTCTGTTTTTGTACGAAAACATCACCCCGTCGTAACTTGATGATCCATCCTCGCAGGACCTCGTTTGCCTGCGAGCGCCCCTAGCTTCGGATCAGTGCGACCTACAGCACCGGTTTCGCACGGTACAGTTCAGCCCAGATATTAGTTCATTTTTGTTTCAGCTTTTGCACGATTATGTCACCATGTTTTAACTGCACGTTTCCTCATCGCAGGACCTCGTCTGCCTTCGAGCGCGTTCGCAGGCACGACCGGCGCTTCCACGAGCTCCGCAGGGGCGTTCGCCACCTCTTCGGGCGCGTTCGCCAGCTCTTCCTCTCACGGAGCGTCGATCCCTCGCCCACACGGTACTTTACTTTTTATTAATACTGTTAAATACCTGTACGAAACTGATGGTCCTTGTCCAGCAGGATTTGCAGCCGGGATCTTCGGTACTGGGGCCTCTTCGTCTCACGCCGGTAGGACTGGTCCTACTAGCCAGTTCTACGACGACGACTTGCACGGTGCAGACCACCACGACGTACTAGGCTCCTCTCAGCTTGGAGGAGCTCCAGAGGCACACACTCAGGAGCAGCCAGAGGTCACACCTGTACAGGCAGGACGGGTTGGCCGTGCCGTACCCCCGGACCGACTCACGTACTCCCACGGGCACATTAGGGCGCAGGGTAGGAGGGACAGGGGTAAGAGGCCTCGTCAGTAGTGTTCTACCTCTTCAGTCCTTATGTGACCGTTTCTTTTGGCTTACAAACTTGTAAAGCAGTACTACTTTTGCTATTACTACTGCAGTACTACTTGTGTTTGTCTCGTCTACATAGTTCTTTTCATTCATATGGTGCTAGAACAACTTATGCTCACGACAACACACTTTCGGCGCTGCACGGTAGTGTCAGATCCAGTAGCGCGCACAGTCCACAACAGCACACATGAAAAGCGGCAGCTCGAGTTATCACTATCAACTTTCGGCGCTGCCTGTTTACATAAAGTGAATCACGCCCACGCGTGATCGTCTTGTCACATCTAATGAATAATGTATCTCATTGAGTTCACATATATTGCAGTGAAAACGACGCTATATAATTGACAATCTGAAGGCAACCTCTTCATATCTTCTTTCCCACTAGCACACAACACACAAAAATGGAAGCCTATTCATTGGTAATACGTAATCTAGATTTGAGATTATGTAGAACATTCTTCACTACAATTTTACATTTTGGCAGCAAACCAAATATGATCAAATGCAATTTTACCTTACCAAATATTTGGTCGTGAAGAAAAATTTGGCACTAACAATCCAAATATGCCCTAAAAATTAATAAAATATTTGTACGGTAACAATCCAAATATGCCCTAAAAAATAATAAAATTGTATTTTACCAGTCTTGGAGATTTTAATCTTGTATAGTTTTCAATATAAAAAGATTTGATAACTATTGATATTTATACAAAAATATAGAGCACAGTACAAAATCGCCCTTGCGGAGGGCGGCAAGGGGGCCGCCTGCAAAATTCCATGCCCCCTCGCCGCCCATTTGCAGGCGGCCCCCCGCACAGTACAAAATCGCCCTCGCCGAGGGCGGCAAGGGGGCCGCCTGCAAAATTCCATGCCCCCCCTCGCCGCCCATTTGCAGGCGGCCCCCCGCACAGTACAAAATCGCCCTCGCGGAGGGCGGCAAGGGGGCCGCCTGCAAATTTCGTTGACGGCCGTCGCCCGAGAGCGAACGGCCGTCTGCCACGTCATTTTCGCCGCCCTCTGGGAGGGCGATTTTTAAAAATCGCCTTCCCAGAGGGCGGTAGGCGACTACTTCCGTCAATTTTCAAAATAGAAAATTATTTTTGTAAAACTTTTAATAAAAAAAATTAAAAATAAAAAAAATTCAATTTTATGATAGGCCACGGAAAGGGGCCTAATACCTGGCGCGATATACTTGCTGCCTGCCTAGACTGCGGAGGGATGCCTTTAATTTATGAATAAGTTCACCTGTCATCCCTTAACTTTACACCAAGTTTGTTTGACATCCTTATCATTAGTACATAAATCTTCTCTTCCTAAACTGTACAAAACTGTGCATTTTAGGTCCCATAGCAGTATGGATATCCGGTTTCGCTGACGTGACATCCTAGTCAGGAAAAAAATAAAGAAGTATGTGGAGCTATGATAGAAAATGTGAGGCCCACCTTTCTTTTTTCTTCCCCTTTTTTCTTACATCTATTTGTTTTTTTTTTATTTTCTTCTCTTCTGACAATGGCGGCAGATGGGGAGAGCCGGCCGCCGATGAGGCTGAGCGGCCCGACGCCTTCACGCCGCTCAGCCTCATCGGCGGCGGTGGCCTCTGTCGCCCTCCACCATTGGTTTTCTTTCTTCTCCTTTTTTTTTACTTTCTTCTCTTCTGACAGCGGCGGCAGATGGGGAGAGCCAGCCCTAACGCCTCCGCGCCGCTCGGCCTCGTCGGCGGCGATGACGTCGTCGCCCTTTACCATCGGTGCCCTCCTCACGATCTCGGCGCGGCGCGCATGGAGACAGAGCCCGTTGAGAGTGAGGGAATTGCTCGTCGGGGAAGTCCTCGTAGAGGCGCTGCCGCACAGCGACACCCACACCATGCCCGCTCTCAAAGACACTGCTGCTCGCCCGCGCTCGCCCCTCGCGTCCCCCGCCCCTCTGCTCCACCCGCGCCCGGAGCCGCCGCTCGCCCGCCGCCACCACCGCCGCGCTCGCCTGCCGCTCGACCGCCACACCCCCCACATCCCACGCCTTCTACTCTGCCTGTGCCCGGAGCCGCCACTCGCCGTGCTTGCCCACCGCGTCGCCCGCCACTTCGCAGCCACTCTCGTCCACCGCCGCCTTCGCCGCTCCGGCACCGCTCTTGCTCGCCATCATCATCGCCGCGCCTCCCGTGCCCGGAGCCGCCCCTCCACCTCCACCTCCTGCAGAGGGTGAGGTCGCCTCCGCCTCTGTGCTATCCAAGATGACGCGCTTCCTTACGTGGAGGCCGGGCAAGCTCGAGCTTGTTCAGGATCGACAGTCTCTCCCGCCTCTGCCTTCGTTGATCAGAGGTCGGGCGCCCGGGCGGGATCGGTCGCCGCCTCCCTCGCCGCCACTCGACGAACGTGTGCTTGGTTAGGGAAAAAGAGAGAGAAGAATGAAGTGAGGCTGACATGTGGGCCCAATGTTTTTTATTTACAACCAGTGCACCATACTGTCTGGGACCTAAATTAGACGATTTTGTTAAGATAGGTGGTAAAGATTTCTAGTATTATAGTTTAGGGATGCTAATTAAACTCGAGGTAAAGATGAGGGACTGTGAGTGGACTTATTCCTTTAATTTACAATCTACATGCATGGGCTGGGCCCAACAAGACTGTGGTCTTGCCAAACTTATCCAGAATATCGTCTCATGTGCTTTCAATTTGAAAGCTTTAGAGAATGTTCAACTTTTTGGACCATGGCTGAGGAATTTCGACAAAAACCTGAAACAAATTTAAAAATGGTTTGAGTGGCGTAGCTGTAATTTTCTGGGTAATTCAGAAAACAGGAAATGCAGCTTGTTCCCAAAAATAGAAAAAAAAAATCTTCCAAAAGATCCTACTATAGATATATATTCTCTGCTTGTCATTGGATTACTTTGTGGACAAATTTGCAGGAGAAAAGTCAAAGAAAGCTGTTGTCGGCGGTACTACGACTAAAACAGCTGCACTAATGTAGAGATCGGTATTATAGGTGCTAGAAGTGTTAAAACCGACACCTATATACCTTTTTCCGTCTCCACGGACTAAAAAAAAGATATCTTTAAACAATTATTGGCGTTGGTTTTTTAGAAAGCCTGATACCAATGTGCCCTTTTTTAAAAACCCGACACCTACAATATATTATAAGTGCTAGTTTTTTTTTTAAAAAAAACAAACGAGCCAAGCCACACGGGGAGGGAGATTTTTACCCGTTCTTATCCATTCGCCCACCCAGCCAACATGCGCTCTCTCTCTCTTTTCACCCACCGCACCCATCCAACTTCTCTTCTCTTTCTTTTCCTCTTCTCCTAATCCTCCTCCATCCACCGCACCCTCTCTCGGCTCTCTCGCGCGCACTCCCCAATCCCCACCGTGCGGTGGCAGCGGCCTGGCGACACCCTCCCCTCCGCCAGATCTGGCAGGAGGGGAGGCCGCAGGGACGCGACAACGGGAGGGAGCTTGTGGCGAAGGAGAAGACGGAGCAGAAGCCCCGGCGGTGGATCCACTCTCTTCGTAAGCAGTGGTGACACTCTCCGGTGGCGGCGGCGACTCCTCTCTTCCAGCGGTGGCTTCCTCGTTGATTTTGTTCATGGATTTTTGTGGATATTCGTTTTATTCATGATTGTGTGATTGTGTTCTCGGGTGATTGGGAGCTCAATGCATCGAGCCGTTTTTTTTATTATTATTCTTGGGACTGTTCCTGTGTAGTCCTTCTTAGCAGTTTGTACTTTCAAGTGATTGTCTCAGCTCTGGATGAGCATGGTTTGGACCTGCGTTGATCTGGGATCTTGCAGTAGTTTCAAATATTTCTGGAATGTTTTCTAGGCTGATAGTTCTAGCTGTAGTTTCTTCCTATATCCGGCAAACGGCAATGGAGGTGGGATTCGCCTGCTTGCTTGCTGGGGCCTTGGGAAATGAAAAAAAATAAAAATAAAAGACTCACATATATGTTCCTGCTGTCCCAGGCCTCTTGCTTAGTCTGTAAACTTTTATCTCAGTTTTAGTAATGGAAATGGGCTCACAACTCTTGATATATAACAAAAAAAAATGGTGCATAAATACGAAGACTACAGACATATACATGATTACACGAATTGAAGGATATGCGTGCTCACTGTACATATCATTATTTCTCTCACACACAACACACAAAAATACTACTCCTCCGTTCTAAAATATAATAAGTTTTGGTTTGATGAGACACACCCTACTATAAATCTGTCTATCCAGATTCATAGCACTAGAATATATCTTATCCAATTAAAACTCCTCATATTTTAAAAAGGAGAGAGTACAAAATATTTACATATATTGGCAAATAATTGGTATTTGAACGTACCAAATTAATTGAGCAATTCAACTAAGACACGCATAAGCAGTCAATCCATTTCAACAACTAATGCCACCATGCAGAACTACTTACTAGTTCTAAAATATAGCAATTTAGAAATCGATGAAACATCACCTAATTCAATGTATCAATATAGGGTCATATCCAGATTTATTGGACTAGGTGATGTTCCATCCAATTCTAAGTTATACTATATTTCAGAACGGAGCGAGTATATTCTAGCTAGCTGCAACTCTCTCTCTCTCTCCAGTCAAGAGCAATAAAGATACTTATAGATCGATCGACTAGCCATCTTGCTCGCCGCCGGCGATCAGCATCCCGCGATGCACCTTGTCGATGAACTCGGAGGCCCTCCGGTCGATGTCACGCTCGGCGTAGTAGTTGTCGTTGTCCTCGTCGCTCGGCCACACCCTCCTCCTCCGCTCCGGGCAGTAGTACGACCTCTGCTGCTGCTTCCTTCCGGCCGCCGCAGCCGTCGCCATCTCCTCCTGCTGCTGCTGCCGCCGCCTCTCGCCGCCGCTCTTGAACCCGAACAGCGAGGCCAGCACCGACTTCTTCTTCCCTCTTCCTCCCATACAAATATAGTGGTTAGTAGCTGATCACAATCTTAATTTCTCTCTGTATTTGCAGGGTTTGTATAGTTAGCTAGTGAGATTTGCTTGAGCTGCAGGTTAAGTTGCTGTATGCATATTGAAGGGGACATGGTGTTTCTCTTTTATAGGCGATCCATATCGCCATCGTATCTTCGTCTATATATCACTTTAGTTCGGCCTGCAGGTTTATGGATTGTGACTGAGTACACGTCTGGTTAGTCGTTCATGGATGCAGCTAGATTCTAGCTTACTTACATAGCTTATTATGACTTAATTATTTAATTTGTAATTACCCTTGCTTGATGCGACTGCACACATATCTGCATGCATGCATGGAGCGTGTACGTACCGCCCATCCGCGTAGCTTTTTGACTCACCGGCCATTCGTTGACCGAGCCACGTGTAATCTGACACGTTTGTTTAGTGATCAAGTTTAAGTAGGGGAGGACTCAGAAATGGACCTAGACCCAGACCACTTCATCAGAATTTTAATTAGAATCTTAAAATGCTCGATGGACCCTTTCGTTATGGGCCCTGAGGCGTGGACCAGGTGACAGGGTGTTGATCCGCCCCTGAGTTTAAGTACTCAGAAATCAGTGAGTAAACTTTGAGAGCAGAAGTTTTTATAAGGCACAATTAATATTTCTCATAAATACAAAGTGTGCATATATACATATCATTGACTATAGTACCTCTCACTTCTTTTAATTTGTTTTTTAATCCTTCACATTGTATTTTTTTTTATCTTTGTATTAGTCACTACACCAGATCGGCCTATCTGTGATGAGTCAAGCTGACTTATCACTAATGACTTCATCTCTAACGGGTTAAACTGAAACTCATTTTAGATGAGGCTTAGAGATATGGTCTGTCACAGGTAAAAGATCTCATCTTTGACATGATATAGAACATCTCTGATGGGTCCATATATAGGTTCGTCACAGATGACATTTTATTTGTGATGGATGTTGAATTTGCATCCGTCACATATGAGGTACTCATCTGTAATAGATATTAGTAAATTTTCCTAAACATCATTGATGACATGAGAAAAAGTAAATAATTCTCTTCCCTCCCGAGACCCCCTCCTCTCTCTCTCTCTTATCCTTATCCCCTCCTCTCTCTTTTCTTTCTTCCCGCACACTTCTTCCTATTCATTCCGTTGCGAGCGTCGAGTCCTACCTATTACAGATGAAGGTTTGGACCCATCAAACCTGATCTGGTCTAGCATATATAGCTAGTGAGTTATGGTTGTGTCTTATACTCGGTTAATATATACTCCCTCCGTATTTTAATGTATGACGTCGTTGACTTTTTGATCGATATTTGACTATTCATCTTATTCAAAAAATTTATGGAAGTGTCATTTATTTAAAGCATGATATAAATAATTTTATAATTATAAAAATTTGAATAAGACAAATTGTTAAATGTCGGTTAAAACGTCGACGACGTTATACATTAAAATAATATAAGAAGGGACTATTTTCTCCATGCATTCGCGGCTGGCTATAGCTGACTAGCTAGCTGGACATATCTGTCGATCGAGTGCACGCTTCGTGCTTCATGTAGAAACTCGATCGATTTCTGACGACGACACGCGTCGTGAGCCCGTACTTACAATTATTCAGTTTGATCGTGTCGTTTTTCATCAGATAGTTTGGAATATCGGCGCAGAAAGTAGATTTCTAGCAAGCAAAAAAGGCTATAACTAAAAACCTCATGCTCTCGACCTCGATCTGAAATTCAGGTGTTAGGCATGCCAATGAACGCGCAAGAGACGGTCAAGAAAGCTAGCATGCATGCATCCAACTTTACTGCTATTTTGCCCGTGGGTCGTTTAATTTCCTGCACTTGCTGGGCGAGACGAGCTAGCTAGCTAAGGTAGCTCCTGTTGGCTGCGTGGCTAGTTGGCTGGCCTACCGGAGATTATGCAGAGTATACTTTTGAATCATGCTTATCGATAAGAAAAAGGCTTGATTCGGATTAACATTCAGAGCGGAGGCTTGATTTGACGACGTTCAAATCTCGCGCACCATCGAGCACGTACACATATATGCTCACCGCTAGTATCTCGTTTTTTGGGTCCTTAGTATACTTACTTTATAAAAAAGAGATTTTTTAGGGCCCTACCGTGCTTGCATGCATGCAAGGAAATGGATTTGATACAAGGGAACGTACGATATTAAGCATCTAGCAGCGGTGCATAAAGTCTGTCCTAAATACTCCTAGAAAGGATTTGATAGAAGGGAACGTATGATTCGTCCTTCAATTCCTTACTCTCAAAATATAACAACGGTGCATAACTAAAGTTTTTCCTAAATATATCAACTGTCTACATAGTATTTATTTTAATCTATTTATCTTTTTTATTTAATTTATTTACCCACTTTCTCGTCTTATCGATAGTGTGATATATATATCCTATTTTCATCTATATATAGTATCGGTGAGTATGTATATTCAGCCCATCCGAGTATCCGACAACCGATCAATGTAGGTATGGATAGAATCTATCTTCCCCTTGACAAATCAGGAAACATGGTTAATTAGTTAGGCACGGACGTAGTTCCTCCGGTTTTTAATATATGACACAGTTGATATTTTATAAAATATTTAACTATTCATCTTATTCAAAAATTTAATGTAATTATCATTTATTTTATTGTGATTTGATTTATCATCAATTTTTTTTATCATGACTTAATATTTTTATATTTATAAAAAAAATGAATGGTTAAATATTTGTTGAAAAGTTAACAGAGTTATATATTAAAAAAAAGGGGTGGTGGTACGAGACTACGGGCATGTCAATGTGCCGTAATGTTTGAGTGAGACCTGGGCGAACTGGCGGCACCCGTGAACAAGAAGCTAGGCTGGCGAAATGACAAACAGTCGTCACGGCAAAACGAGCAAGAGATCGACGACGACGACAGTACAACACCCAGCTACCGAATTCTTTTCTTGCTGTCTGATTGACTGATTCTGTCCCAGAACATGAATACCTTGACTAGAGTTGATGGATTACACTGTAAGTGCCATAGGGAGGTTTGGAATATTGGCCAGAATTATTGGCCGTCACTACTACAATATCCATTTTGCCGGTCTGTTGGATCTATTATCCGTGCGGTCGCTCGGCCCGTCTACAGCTCCTCGTCTGGGAAAATCGATATTTTTACGTGTAGGCGGGCCGACCGCACGGAATAATCATTTTCCCGTGCGATCGTGTTAAGTGGACGGGATAATCGATTATCCCGTGTGGTCAAATTATACCACCCGCACAAAACAAAAAAAAACCAAAAATAAAAAAAAAGCGAAAATCACCGGATCCTGCCGGACCGCCGCTGGAACTGGGGCGGGGCCACCCGTTCGCCGCCGCTGCACGACGACCAGGAGGACGACGGCGTCGTCGTCGAGGGAGCCGAGCCACCTCGCTCGGTCGCCGCCGCGCACGACGAGGACGACAACCAGGAGGACGACTGCGTCGTCGTCGAGGGAGCTGAGCCGCCTCGCCTGGCCGTCCCCTCACCCGGTCTGTAGCGCCTGTTCCGTCGTGGCGCCTAGCGGGAAAACTATCTCTTAAAAACCCTAATTGCGAAATTTATTTCTTTGCTTGTTGTTGAGTGTCCGTGCCATCTCAGATCTCAAATCCCCGATCTATCGTCGAGTTCAATCCCGAATCCAAATCCTTCCCAAATCAAATCCCTCCGCAAAAGTCTATTTTGCCTCCCCCGGGGTCGATGGGCCGAATCTCTCTCGGCCCATCTCCCCCCTCCCTCCCCCGGCGCTCTCTCTCTCTCTCCCTCTCCCCCTCCCCCTCCCCCTCCCCCTCCGCTCCGCACGCGCGCCGCGCGCGCGTGCGCGTGAGCCGCTCGCGCCGAGCGCCCTCCCTTCCCCTCGCTCTGCCCGCGCGTGCGCGAGTGCCGCGCCGAGCGCCCCCTCCCCCTCGCTCTCCTTCTCCCCATCCCAGGCAAGCTCCCCGCCCGCAAAGTCGGGCCCCCGCGCGCCGTTGTTCGCGCGCGCACCCGCGTGGTCGCCGCCCGTGCCGCGCCGTCTGCGCCGTCCGCGTCGCCCGGCCCCGCTGCCCTGCCGCGCCTGCCGCCGCGCAGCCGCTCAGCCCCGCAGCCAGCGCGCGTGCCCGAGCCGCGCCACTCAATCCGCCGCGCCTCCCGTTGCAAGCCGCGCGCGCGTGCCGAGTGGCCGACCACCTGGTCGCCGCCATCGTCAGCGCCTGCCCGCGCCTGTCGCCCGTGTCGCCGCTCCGCTCCACACCGCCCCATCGTCATCGCCGTCGTCATCGCCTCGGCCCCGCCGCTCCGCGCTGTAACATTCTGAAAATTCAAGACAATGAAAATCACGAAAATTTCGAACTTTTTAAAACTTTTGCATCATGCTGGTTGTTATGATTGCTATTGCTTGCCAAACCGTAAATGATCACCAAGAAAGTAAAGAAAAGAACTACATTTAAGCAATAGATATGATTTACGGGAATATATTTAATCCTACAAATAATTATGCACAAGATATTAAAATCAAATAAAAGAAAAGTTATTATTAACCTATTTTATCAAATATTAAAATATTTGAATAATGTAGGTGGGTGCCATAATATGTGTACACATGAAATGATCATTCAAATAAACTGAGCTCTCTGTATATATAATAGAATTACGGGAGTATTTAATTCGATATGTAGATCGATATTACACCAAGTTCCTAATTGCATTTAGGGATTGAAATTTGATATATTAAACCCCTCCATATAAAATAAACTAACATATAAATAAATTGAGCTAATGTGCTATTGTGTTAATAACGGCCTCATTAGAAAATTATAGAATCTTTAATAAACCTTAAATATTGGACAATATTAAATTTTGGGCAAATTCATATTTGAACACTTAATACGGTCACCTAAATGCTTAGGAGTAAATAAAAATTTAATTTGCAACTTTTCTCAATTTATAAATCAACCAAAACCTTCAAGGAAGAAAAATAGGAAAACTTTGAAAAATATATAATAATAATAAGAATTAACCCTAATTAAAAATTCAAATAAATTATATAAATAAAATATGAGTAATATTAATCTAGAATAAATCCATTGGATGGAATG